GTTTGTTCCCATCAAACAGGTTATAAAAGATGAACTCATGTGTTCTTGAAGAACTAACGGAGTTCCTAATAAAGAAATATGTCACTAAGGATAACAGCAAGGGCTAGCTACATATGTTGAGGAACTTTGAGATGTTAAGTTCAAACTCATGCAACAAAGGTCAATGAACTCAATACAAGAAAGCAAGTTCCAACAAAGTTCCAGAGCTAAGATAATATTTGTTCCGACCAGCAATATCTCAACAAACTATGGAACTAAAGTGTTTTTCATGCATATATATAACCAAAGGGAAAACCTCAACAACCAAGGATCTGAGAAGAGCCCGAGATATCAATCGAAAAGGATGGACTTTATAACTCATAGTTGTATAAAAGATAAGTCTGTTTTTAAGGTTGATGTAAACATGTAATTGGTTGTTATCAGGTTAGATGTGCAGCAGGAACTTAATAAGCTTAAAAAGAAGAAGATGCATGTCACATCCTGAACCTATTCTAGAACACCTAAAAAGGGTCGGAGATTAAAAAAGGTGTTCTGGCAAAAGCTTGTTGAGTAAGGCACGTGAATGGAACAAGGCCAGGTTGGTTCTTAAAAGAAACAACCAATACAAAGGTATGTATTGTCTTTAAGGAACTTGTTGCGTGTGTAGCTAGACTTGAAGCAAATTGAATAATATTTGTTCTTGCTGTTTATATGGGATTAGAGTTGTACCACATGGATGTCATGTATGTCTTGATTTTTGTAGACGTCTATGTGGAACATACTCTAGGATAGAATCCTATCCAAGTTCCTTCTTGAAAATTGAGTTTTAAAAGTATCAATTTTTGTTTTCAAGATTAACTGAGTTATTATTAGTACTTGTTTACATTGATATATCTCTGGTACTACTAACGAGCCATTGTGAATTGGTTTTTGCTAATTTATGATAAGAAAATATATTTGTAAGATTAACCACTGACAATGGAACTTGAGTTAGAAGTGGAAGTTCATATTAGATTCGAGATCATCAAGGAACATAACAACCACTTCAAGAACTCCAAGGTAAGCCATCATACTCAACCAATGCTTTAAAGTTATATTTTTACTGGTAAGAGACTACATAAGATATAAGTTCCTTTTCACATGTCGGCATTAGATGAATTGAATTGATATTTTTTTGGTATGAATGCAATATGTGAATTTGTGAATTGATTCTCTTATGGTCTTGTCTTGATTTGTCATATTCTTGTTTATTGCTTAATGGAACAAGACTTGATGAAACATAACACGAGTATAAAGTATTTTTTTCCCATAAGTTATGTCAAGCTGGGGTTCCTATGTTATACTTAAAGTAAAGAATATGCGCTTATTTTTTATGTGTCACACTTAGTTCTTGTGTTGTAAAAGACATACTCACTTGCCTAAGAGTATTAGAGGTCTCATAATAGAACTATGGGTGCTGTCAAACACGAAGTTCCTAAGTTGTCAAAGGAACAATGGAAGAAACTTTGATGGAACAAGACAGGTAAGTTCCCAGACCGTTTGTAACTCACTTGTTTAAATTTCAGAGGGAACTAACCTATCTTTTAGCCAACTTTCAAGCATCTACGCCATATATCTTCGATCGCAACATTATTCTACAACTCTAAGTTGTGTGTCCGTGTTGCATATACTTTAATTGTCCCATATTTAGAAAATCGAAGATTCTTATTAACCCAATTCAATTTCCTCTTTCCATTCACACACTTTTACTTTTTATTCTTAATTCCCATGTGCTCTAAGTTTGTTCACCATCTTTTTATGGTTCAATGAAACGTGAAAAAGGGTGATTACATGTTGAGGGGGAAGTTGAAGAAAAAGAAAGAAGTAAGTACTTGAAAAGGAAGAAGAATGGTAAGGGACTCAGGGGGAATAAGGTAGGAACCAAGAATTCAAAATGGTTCAGATCTGGTTGTGGAACTCAAGTGTATGAGTAAATATTCTCTTCATTAATTTAAAATGTGTTATACTAGGAAATCATGCAAAATTTGTGTAATGACACCCTTTGAAAAAAAAAAAAAGAGAAAGAAAAGGAAAAAGGGTGGTCAAATATTTAATTTCCTAGATATCTATATATGAAGAATGTTGACTATGTTGATGTCGTGTACTCGTATACTTGGTGAGCTAGTGAAGAAACAATAATAAACGATGAAGGAACTTGATTATGATGAAACTGAAATCTATTTAAGTTCCAGCATGGAGAATGTTCCTCAAAGAAGTTGGTGGTTAAGGTAAGGGAACTTGGTTATCAATTGGAAAGATGAATATGTGTTGTGTTCAATAGGAGATTCAAGAGTTTGAGATGAAGTACAATGTGGCGGTTCTCATCTCAAAAGGTCTAAACGAAGAGCACAAATTCCACTTCACGTTCCCTCTACTTATTTTGTTCCATATGCTTCTTTATATATCCTTTAAGCTTGCGCTTTAATTGGTCTATTCATGCAATCCATTTCTAACTTTTTAGCTCTGATCTTTACTTGAATTTTAACTTCTTATTTGTCAAGTTCAATTAAGGGTTTTGAAGTTGGGCCTTTGGATTGTGAGTTGGAAGTTAGTGTGGAAATGGTATCCGTGTTTGAAAAGTGAGTACCTTGAGGCTTTTAGGAACAACAAGTGTTTAACTAGTATATACTTACTTATTATATGGTGGTAGGTGTGACATATGACTTTAAGTGCATATAATTTACGAAAAACAAACGTGTGGAACAATACCCTTTTTGATAATGACAAAAGGGGGAAGAATATGTATGATGCTTATGGTATGCAGTAATTAAGTCTAAAGTTATTACATCATGATTGTTGAAAGTATTTATATATTGATAAATGATGTGTATTGCTAAGTTCCTAACTATTAAGTTCTTGTGTATGTTCTTAACTTGTTTAAATGTTATTTCCTTGAAAAACTAAGGGGGAATAAATGTACAACGATTATCCTTTAATATGTGATGAGCATCAATAGTTTGTCATCATCAAAAAGGGGGAAATTGTTGAGCAATTAGGTTTTGATGATTATAAACTAATGATGATTATCTATCTAACGTGTATGTTAAGTTGTGCATAGAAAAAGCAAATTATGCTTGGAACAGGATACAAGGAACCTGAGTAATGACAGGTATATATGTAAGGAACTTGAGCAATATAGGATAAGCAATAGAGGAACAAGAACAACGATAAGTGTTATGGTTGATAAGCATGATGATGGCTAAGGGACCATGAAGGTAACTATGTAAACATGTGTTTACATATGTTAGCTTCATAAGGTAAGTATCCTATACATATATAGGTTATGTATGTGTAGGAGTCTTTTAATTTAGTTTAGTTTTCTTTATTGTTTTTATAAATAAAAAACTAACCTTCTGTTTTACTTTGTTATTCTCAGAAGTTTGCTCAGTTCGTCATCATCAAAAAGGGACAACTTGTTGATCCTTATGAGGTTTTGATGATGATGTTAAGAATTGAGCAAACTTCCATTTAATAAGGATTTTCTAGTGTTGTGATGTTTGCAGGTTCAGTAAGCGTTGAGGGCTGAAGTAGGAATTGAAACAGAGGAACTTTAGAGGATCCATGAGGATACAAGTAAATTTAGAAGAAGAGTTCCAGGAATGGAACTTCCAGAAGTTTCTTAACAAGAACTTCAAAACGGGTTGTAACGACCTGGTTTCGGTGTAATGCTGGGGAAAACCCTAAGATCCAGAATATATCAAGACTACAGGATTCCAGAACAAGAGTTTCAGAGAAGCAACATGAAGACAGAGAAATAGAAGTATATTGCTCTAGGATTCATGTAAGTATGTTGGACATAAAAGTCGGTCTGGAACAAGTCTATATAGAACCAAGGTGAATTCCAAACAGTCAATGAAATTAGAGTAACTGACTTGTCAGGAACTCAGAGACTGTCAGAGTTCAGGAACCTAATAGGAACTTAAGTATGAACGTCGTTAAAAGTCGGTTTTAATGATATATATATTTACCTTATACGTGCATATCTTTTAGGGATTTGGTTTTACTGAATAAAGATATTTATCTTCTAATAAATCCCTTTTGGAAAAAGATAAGATTGTTTAAAAAGTATTTTAAACAAAAAGATAAGTTTTGAATAAAATCTGATTTTATGCTAAGTTTATCTTATTATTATTGACAGTTTTTATTCTTAACAAAAAGATATATTTTCGGAAAACTGATTTTTAGAAAATATCTTTTAAACTTATCTTTTCAGAAAATCTATCTTTTTCAAGATGAAATGAATAATTCGAGTGTACTATAAATATGCTCATATGCATTCATTCAAAGTTGAGGCTGACGAAGTGTAGTGGTCGTGCTTAATGGTTTTATCCTTCACCACGAAGCTAAGTCAGTCCTCCTGGTCAAAGTTCCTATCAGGTTTTTGGTTACAATACGTCTAGTGAGTTCCAGACAGATCTTGAGTGTTCAACATATTAGTTTTATCTCTTTATTCATAGATATGTATTTAGGGATATTCGATGAGATCTTGTAATGGGAAAAGGGTTTTGAGTGTTTTGTATTTTGGGGTGAGATTGTGAATTCTCTTAAATTCACGCTTGTGTATGAGTTTGAAATCTGGTAAAATTCGAGTGGTAGCTGTGAGTGCACAGTGAGTGAAAGGAACCTGAGAAGTGTCTTGGGTCACCTAGGAAGTTTCCTGGGTAAAGGGAGAAAAAGGGTCCTGAGAAGTGTCTTAGGTCTGGTAGGAAGTGTCCTATCATAGAGTCAAGTGTCCGTGGCGGAACTTGCAAAGCAAAGGTCTGTGTAATAGGTTATACTAGGAGAGTTGCCTATTATAGTGGAATTTGTTTATAAGTCCCAATAGGGCCGAGGTTTTACTTCCAGTTAGGCACTGGATGGTTTCCTCGTAAAACTTGTTGTGTGCTTTAAGTTCCTTTACGTTTTGTTTTTAATTTCCGCATAAGTTCCGCGATTGGAACCTACTACCATTCACCCCCCCCTCTTGTAGTAGTTCATCTAAAATGACACAACCACTCGCTAAAGCGAGTCGCATTTGGTCGGTTGCTGAGGATGAAGCTCTAATTGGGTTATACCTAAAAATAAGTGATGATGCGCTTCGTGGTACGAACCAAAAGGCATCCGATCTTTGGTGAAAAGTTCATGCAGCCTACTGTAAAGTTCAAGCGGAGAAGCCGCATATACTCCCGCCAAGACCTATGAAGAGTTTGGAGACACATTGGAGAAGAATGGCAGCTGATTTGCTACAGTGGACTAGTTGCTATGAGGAGGCTGGCAAACTTCCTGAAAGTGGAAGTGGTTACAACGAAGCTGATCGAATTAAAAATGCTTCCAAGTTGTTTTATCTCTCCTCTAATCCACAACATAATTTTGCATTTTTGCATGGAGTGGATCTGGTTAATGAAGACCTGAAGTGGAGGATAAAATTAAAATGGGGTCTATCAAAGGAGGAAAGAAAAGGTTGTGGTGCTGATGATGAGGAAGATAGTAGTGGAAGTGGGAAAAGGTCTAGGGATGCGAGTGACGGATTTATGTCAGGAGGCCTACCACGACCTGACGGTGTCAAAAAAACAAAGGCTAAGCGTAAGGGCAAAGCAGTTGCTTCCGATAGTGCAATTTTGAGCATTAGTGAACAGATAAAGGCGTGCACCGAGGTTAGAGAACGGGAGGCATTTACCCAAATTCAGTTTTCCGTGAATAACCAAATACAACTTGGGGTATTACTTAGCAGACGACATTTACCCAAAATGGGCTACTTTTATTCAAGGTAATAACACTTCCTCAACTTCAGAAGGATAAATTATTTGCTGATAAACAAGGTGCGGCTCGGAAGGACGTTGAACGAGCTTTTGGGGTTTTACAGGCTAGGTTTGCCATTCTACGACAACCTTCCCTTGCGTATGATGAAGACATTTTGTGTGACATAATGAAAGCTTGTATCATTGTGCACAATATGATTGTCGAAGATGAACGACACAACTACACTCGGGCCGAAGTTTTAAGAAGGTACTATGAACAAGATCGTCCGCAAATTACAAGACCAACTACAAGTGCTACAGTTAACAACAACGAGCCTTTTGAATTCAATGTTGGCCGACCTCTTAACGTTGATTTCGAAACGTATGTCCAGAGAAGAATGTCTCTACGCGATAGAGACACTCATGTTTAATTAAAAGCAGATTTAGTGGAACACATTTGGCAAAAATATGGTTCTACTAATGATTAAAAATTCAATTATCGTATGATAACAATTTAATCTAGTCTAATGTAATGGTACGTTAAAGATTGAATGTAGTCTTGGTTTGTACTAATCGTTAATTATCTTGTAGTATGTATTAAATGTAATCGTATTAAATGTAATCGTTAATTTTCAATATTATTAATTTTTTTTTTGAAGGAAAAAAAATTAAAAAAATAGTATAGTTGTAATTAGTAGCACTAAAACTTCATTAAACAAAATATATTATATAATAGTATGGTGATGTGTAAGAGAGTGAAATGTTGGTGGGGTATGTGAAAAAGTAGAAGAGAGAATGATGAACAATTTTTTTTTTGCTCACTAGTGGGATAGAATTTGCTCACCAAAAATGCTCATGGGTTTGTAGAGAGAGAAAGTGGCTAGAGAGAGGATGAACATTTTTTTTTTGCTCACTAGTGTGAGGGCATCTTTAAGGGTGAACTATTTAATTGTTCACAATGAATAAACAAATAAAGTGGTGGCTTAATGGCAAACCTTTAATGGTTCATGTTGAGTGGTCATGGGTTCGATTGCAGGAGCAAGCATTTCCATGAATTAATTCGCTGTGGGCCCCACCAATATTTTGGACTGGTATTATAGCAAAACGACGTCGTTTTGCTGTTTCATGGTGCAAAACGACGTCGTTTTGCTGTTGAAGCTCAGAAAAAAAAATAGAATTCAGCGGCTGGGAGCGCGCCACTTGGCCCAGCCGCTGCTTGACACGTGTGCACTGTTTTAAATATATCCGTTGTAATTTTGCAACGGATATATTTTACAAAATACAAATCAAAAAAAAAAAAAAAAATTACCAACGACTCTATTTTTTTCCCCTCTATAAATAGACACCCATATTGATATATTTTTTTCAACTTTCAAAATTCATTTTTTTCTACTATATTTTTCTCTTCAAAAATCCCCTCTATAATTACCAATATTATTATTATTATTATTTATACCAATATTAATATTATTATTGTTATTATTATTTTTAATTATTATCATTAATATTATTATTAATATTATTATTATTATTGTTTTTATTATTATCGTTATTATTATTATTATTATTTTTATTATTATCGTTATTATTATTATTATTATCGTTATTATTATTATTATTATCGTTGTTATTATTATTATTATTATCATCGTTGTTATTATTATTATTATCGTTATTATTATTATTTCTATTATTATTATTGTTATTATTATTATTATTACAAAACGATGTGTAATCACGATGTGACATCTTACAAAACGATGTGTAGTTGTGTTTTTTTTTTAAATAAAATGTACTAGATTATAGTTGTAGAACTGTAATCACGATTTGTACCTCCTTTTTTTTTATGTTAATTAAAATTAGCTGCGTTGTTGTTTAAAAAATATTAATCACAAGAATTAATTTTTTAAAAAGCTGATAAAAAAACGCGATAATTTCTTAATTAGTAATCACGATTAAAATATTAAATACGTCAATTAATTACATTGACATCGGTTAATAAATTATAATTATGAAACAAAAAGATTATATTTACAAAAATAAAATAAGGTGGGGTAGGGAGTATTGATGATGAACCATTGTTTAGTGTTTATTGTTAAGAGTGAATATTGTAAATGGTTTGTTGGGTTGATGTGGATGAGAGAGAAATGGTGATAGTGACCCATGAACCATTTTTTTTTTGTTCACCAATAATGGTGCTCTGAGTGCTCTTAGTTGTTCTTATGCTTACTGTCATATTGTTTGATGACTTTGATCCAATTTATATTTACCCAACACTAATGCACTACTTACTGCACTCGCGCCATATCATACCAATCTCCATCCCAGGACCATGAATCTTGTAAGATCAGGAACATTGAATTAACCTTTATTTCCATTTAATTATAGCTATAACTCTATAAGCTCAAATAAGTAGTTACGATAAGGGTTAAAATAGTCAAATTAAAAATTTGCACATATACTAGCTACATAAGTTCATATTTGTATAAAGTTTTAAGCCGTATCCAATAAATTTAAATAAGTTTAATTACATTCGAATATATAAGTAAATTAATAAGTGTAAATTAGGTGAATATATATCACCTTTAATGTAATAACAAGAAAAATGGACGTAATTTTTAATTTTTTTTTTCCTATTTATTGAGGGATACAATTTTTAATTAAAATCTAACAACTAGCTAGTTTCCTAATGATTTCTTATCCTAATCCTACCAATTCAATACCTACTACATAGACAAACATCTCAAATAGAGTTAATAGACAAGAGCAAAAGACTAGAAAACAATCACATTCACGCTTCACACTTGTATCAGTTCCATGCCTAATGATTTTCAAACAAAAATAAGCCAGCAATCTTCTTGTGCATGTATGTGGACCACTATTATTCATCTTCTTAATAGGTTTTTTTGTTTGTTTGTTTTTTTAAAAAATATTTTTTTCTTTCTTTATTTTTTTTTCCTAAATTTGCATCTCTTGCTAAAAATCTCATGCATAATCATAATAGGGTTTAGGTTTTAGGTATAAAAAAGTCTAAAACAATGAGAAAAAAACTTCAATTTGATTCTTTAAATCATACATATATACTTCTTCCGTCTCATAATATAATGCATGTATTCTTTACTGCGCGTCCCAAAATACTATGTTTGTTTGAAATCTTTACTAATTTATCTATCATTATTTTTGGACAAAATTACCGTTAAGATAGAAAAGTTCATTCGATCGTTATCCTTCATCAAATTAAGCCTCATTATACAACTCCAAAAAAAATGAAATTTATAACTTTGATTTGGGACCAATGCATAAACATACTCTTATGTGTGAAGTGTGTTACGTAAATACTAGGCAAGGCATTCCCTCTAGGCTCATATAGGGGGACCAATTATGTTGGTGATGAAAGAGTAATATCACTTATCAAGTTTTAGCCTTTGTTTCCAACTAGGCTTCTTTTTCAAGTTTTTTGAATTATCTCCTCTATATTCCAAAAGAAAAGAAAAGAAAAAAAATGATACTCCGTAATAATATAACAAGACGAATTAAATGTGAAAATTAGACCTGTCAAAATTAATACATATAAATAGCGAGAGTTAAATTACTTTCCATTTTATTTGATTTTCTCAAGAATATAATGATTTAAATTGACAATGTGAGAGGCCAAATTAAAAAAAGCCATAGTGAATTTGAAATTGGCTACATTTAAGTGTGCCAAACCAATGCAAATATGGCCAAGTTATTGATGACCCAAACCAAAGTCATCTTAAACTAGACCTTAATCACCTTATTACCTTGACATAAACATGATAAACCTTACTGATTAACTACGAAGTAAGTTTATAAGTATATCTCAACATAATGGTACAATTCAGAGGTTAAGTAGTACAACTCTTTGAAGATTGAAAGTTTGTTATACAATGACGTATTTAAATATACAATTTGATTTGATCCGATCTAAGCCCAACATGTACGATAATATAAGTGTATATTCCTATGGAGTAAATCATGGTGAAATAATACAAACTGTATTCGTTAACCACATGATGTGACACTCCAATATTTTTAATCTAGCTCGTCATTCACTCAACTTCACATATCATAAATCTGATCGAATTAACCTAAGGTTGTGTTTGGATATACACAATTCATTTCAAATGAAAGATTTCAATTTTAGAATTTGAATTCTTATAATTCAATTCCAAAATATTTTGTTTGGGAAATAGTAGAATTTCAATTTTTGGATTTCAAAATATCGTCAATTTCTTCAAAAAAAAAAATAAATAAATAAAAAATTATGCTATTTAATTTTAATAACAACGTTCTACTTTTATTATTACTCCGTATGAAATTCCAGTTTGATTGTTTTGTGCGAATCCATAATCAAAGCTTTTACTTAAGATTGTAAACCCTAATTTTTTCCCCAAATTTGATTATTAGAATGAAAATCATGAATTTACCTTCCAAATTAATGAAAACGTAGCTTAATTTAGATGAAACTACAGCTTTATGAAACCTGAATCTTGCTTCAATCGAGCAAAATAATCTTGTAAACAACAAGATTTGTATCACAATTGTTCAAATAATGATGTGTTTTGGGGGAGTCGACGGTGGTGACGGTGGTGGAGGCGTCTGAAGGGTAGTCAGAAATAGAAGAGGAGAGAGAAAAATACAACCAAAAGTTAGGAGAGAGAAACCATGGATGATGAGGTTGTCGAAGAGAAAGAAGTGTGGAAGGTTAGATTATAATTTGAAATGACTTGGTTTGAGGTGTCATTTGGAAATTCTGATTTTTGTCTTATTTTTAGATGAGTTGGAATTTGGCCCAAATCCAAAATTAAAATTCTTGTTTTGCCAAACATGTTATTTGGGCCAATTCCAGATTTTCAAATGAAATTTGTGTTCCCAAACAAGCCATAATTATATTTGATTTGAGCTAAAATGATGTAATTGACTCAACTTCACATATCATAAATCTAAGTTTTTTTTTTTGAAACAATCATAAATCTAAGTTAAACCCGATTAATCTAAGTTAAACCCGATTAGACCTGACGTGAATTAGAAGTATTATAAGTGGATATTCTTTATTTGTCCAAATTTACCCCATTTAATTTGTGAGCCTAAAGATTATTTGTATCCACTAATAATACAAGGAAAAAACTAAAGGTTCGTTTGACATCGCTGTAATTTTCTGTTTTTTGATTTTTTGTTTTTCAAAATCATATGATATATATCATATAATGAATCAAAAATTAGACAAAACATATTTTTTTTTATTTCTTGTTTTTGGTTTTCAGTTGTTTTGGTTTTCAAAACACTGAAAACCGAAAACAAAATAAAATAAACAAAAAAAATTCTTTTTTCTTGCACCTAATGTGAAATCTTCTACGAGACAAAAAAAAAAGGTCAAAGTAGGAACAATAAAAGAAAACAGAAGGAGGAG